TCCCGCAGAGCTGGCTGAGGGGCCTCGAGTGGAAGGGCTGGAAAATAATTACCGAGGAGGAGGAGGCCGGGAGGGAGGCGGGCGGGAGGCTGGCGGAGCTTAATGAAACTGCTAACGCGTTAGTGATTCTTGCCTGCCTGCCTGCCTGGGAAGGCGGAGGCAGACAGCCATGTTGCCAGCTCCCGCGATGAGGCTGCCAGGCGGGACGGGCTGGGCACGCACAGGCGGCAACAATAGGCACCTCTTCGTCATCTGTCGTCCCGTGCGGGACTCTGAGAGGGCGATCTCAGCACATCCGTGCCCGGACAGCGTGTGCTTCCCACTCGGCCAGGCTAAACCACACTGGCGTCTGTTCAGCAGCTACGACTCGGATGAAACACACAATTCCAGAGACTGGAGGACGGGGTGTCCGATCCCATTTTCCAGATAGGAAATGGAGGCCCTAAGAGGTCATCTACATGTGGGCGCCAGGGATGTCCCAGGAAGCAACCCTGAAGTCCCCCTGTGAGCAACCCCCACCCCCACATCTGGCTGGGGTGAGGCAGGCAGATGACAGGGCTCCCCCATAACAGATGCCTTTAAGAGTCCAGACCAAAGACACATGTAAGACCCCAGAGGGCAAGGGTCCACCCTGGGCCTGGACTCCGTGTCCAGTGCTAAGACGCAGTGGAGCCAAGTGCTTACTGGCCAGTGAGACCCTCACTGTGGTTTCCAGCCGGCAAATCTCTGGGCAGCTCCAGGTGGGAACACAGGCACAGGGAGGTTAAGTAACACACCTGAGGCTACACAGCTGGACGGCACTGAGCCGGGACTCAGACCTGGGGTTTGAGCCCTTAAAACATGCACTTTGGTTCAAATATCCACAGGGTACCACGAGTGCTTAGTAGCCCCCTGATGGCTAGTGAGGAGACAGGGGCACAGAGAAGCCTGGGCCCCAGCTCACCAGGGTTCTCTAGGCAACAAAGTGCCCAGGAGATCCATGGCAGGGCTTGAGATGGCCGTCTGAGGCCAGAAAAGCCCACAAAAACAGTGGCCTCACCGCCGGCGCTCTGTCATCCCAGGGCAATCCCCCTATGGAACCCGAGGCCCTCGAGGCTTGGGAACGGAAAGCCACACAGCCGGGCACATCACCCACAGTGGGCAAGCAGCACAGCCCCAAGAAAACTCAACCACCCCAGGGGGGACCCACCGCTGAGACCAGCTGAGTGAGTGGGGACTGTCCCCTCCGTCTGCCCCAGAAGCCACAGAGCTGGGAGCCAGTGGGCCTGCAGGAGGTCTCAGTCCCTGCCCACTCAGCAAAGCGCCCCCTGCTCCCACCCTGGTGGACAGTCCGATGGCCAGGACCTCAGGGACCAGACCGGCCCCCTGTATCAGGGGCAGGAGCAAACGATGTGTGTAGGCAAGCGGCCCCATTCCCACCTCGCTGGTCTCCTTGGAGCCTTCCTAGGCCCTGGAAGGCTCCCCTCGAGGGCACCCAGCAGCTCCAGAGCTCTGTCCCCATTTGCTCCTAGGTCTGTCCCCAGAGCGCTGCCCAAGGGTGAGGCTACCTCTGTGGGTACGAGACCCCAGCGCAGGAGGGAGGTCTGGACGCACGAATGAGTAACTGATGCCACCCAGCCCGCTGCTGCAGCTGCTCCCTTAAGTAGTCTGCACCCGGGACAGGTTCCACCTCTGTCCACAGTCAGGGACTGTGACCCCAGGAGACCAGCCCTGGCCCTTAGCCACTGCCACACAAGCCGCCCAGGGCCTCCTGGGAACAGGATTTGAACCCAGGCAGCCTGCATCTCAGCCTCAGGCTCACTCTGCCCTCATTTCCAAAGACAAGTCCACACTCGCTGGCCTGATCCTGGACCCTGCCCACTCCACCCTGCCCCCGCCCCACCCCAAGGCCCCCAGCACACCCAAGCCTCCCTGCCAACAAGGCCACGGAGGGCTGAAAGCCAAGGTCAGAGTCGTCAGGACGAACAAGGTCTCCCACTCTGATGGCTGCCGCCAATCCCTCATTTTTCCACACGCCAAAGCTGCCTCCCTCCCCATCATCAACGCAATAAAGGCGGAGGGGGAGGGGAGAGGAACGACAGGGGGAGGAGGGGAGGGGCGCGCCCCCACCGCCCACAGCGGGCTCCTTTCTGGTCAGGGAAAAGCCTCTAATGAAGGCCCCACGATGCCGCTGAGCCGCGGTGTCAGCCGGGGAGCCCCGCGGAGCTGCGGGCCGCGCATCTCTGCCCCCAATTAGCACACAGGTCCTCCATCAAAGCGCGCGCCTGCTGCCAGGAGCAGAGGCCACAGGGACGGCCCTTCCAGCAGTGGGAGGAGGCCGCGGCGCTGTGGCAGGCCCTGGCCTCTGCCCCCTTGCCTTTCTCAGGGTGGGGGCAGCCCCCCCCACCCTCTCCAATCAGCCAGCTCAGGGCAGACGCCGTCACCCCGGGGAACGCACTAATGAAGATGGCCGACATTAATCTCTTCCCTCTCCCGACAGGTCAATTTATAGTTCCGTGGGGAGCCCTGGCGCTAGGCCAGAGGGCCTGACATAACTCTCCCTGTTCCCCGGGAGGACATCCGCAGTGGGCTTGATGGGCACAGGGGGCTGAGGTCCCTGGTGACAGGGCCTGCACCTGAGCACCTGCCACGGTTGCCCCAGCAAAAACAGGCAGGAGAGAACCTGAACCCCTAAACTTTAAGGCTGAGGGTCAAAGCCTGCAGGTCCCAGAGAACAAAATCACTCCTTGGCTCCTGCTCAGCTTATGGGTGGGAGACCCCCCAAAGAGTCAGGCAGCATCGGCCTCTCTGCTCCCCACCTAGTCTAAGAGCTCAGAGCTGGCCACCTGCTGGAGTCTGAGGACCCATCACCCTAGGCCCTGGCTCTCGTGGACTGTCCAGCCTGGTGGGTGAGGTAGCCCTGGAATCAGCCTACCATGTTGATGGCACTAATGACAGGCATCTCCCAAGAGCTGGGGCACCATGGGCGGGAACTCACTCCATCAGCCTGTGAGGGACGTGGAGGCCCGTGAGGACCCGTGAGGATGGAGGCAGGAGCAGGGATGGGCACCATCTCGAGCTCAAAGACCGGGGGAGACATCAGGCTCACAGAAGGTGCAAGGGGGGAAGAGGCTCAGTCTCAAGAGACGCTCAGGAGTTTGGCCTAGTTTAGGTTTGGGGACAGCTGAGGAGTTTGCCCGCTCAGGGCCGCATTTAGAAAGAGAGTTCTGGCCATGGCGGCCCAGACTGATGCTCACGGCACAGCAGCACAGGCTCACCCAGGTTGGAGGGGAAGAAAGGGAGGGAGAATTCTGGGGTAGAACTAACAGGACCCCAAGGCTGGACCGGGAAGTGCCAGAGCGTACCAGTTGGGGCTCAGGAGGGCAGTGATGTGGCGGGCCTGGGGAAGGATTAAGACACTGGCCCTGGGAGCTCCCAGCAGGCCCCAAGAGCCAGGCCTAGTCTAGAGTGAAGCCAGGACCCAAATGGTGGCCCCAGGTTCCAAAGGCTGAGCAGAGTGGACTCCAGCTTGGGGAGCAGATCACTTTCTTAGGCAGTAGCAAAGCCAGAGAGGATTCCTGGGGAGGAGGCAGGGTACCCCTTCCCCACCCCAGCACTGCCCAGAGCCCTCCTGCAGGAATCACCCAGGCCACCCTGCCCCTACTTCCCAGTCGCAGAGGCCAGCACTGGTACTCCATGAGTCTGTTACACAGACGGTTCTTGTCCCCAGGCCCTGGACCCTCCTCACCTCCTCCCCTTCCTTCTAGGCCACCTATCCCATCAAGGGGACCCCCTCAGCTACCCTGGGGGAAAGATCCCCTTTCCTCCAGGCTGGAGACCCAGGCCGCAGGGTTAAAGGATTCGCTTTAAGACCTTTCAGCTTAGACGGTACAGTGTTACAGTCAGGAAAGGGTCTGCCTGACCCAAAGCACACTCCTATGGAAAGGAGAAAGCACAAGGCCTAAATAAAGAACCTCAGCGCTACAGTGGCTGCATTATGGTGGTGGGACAATGGATGGGTTTTTTTTTTTTCCTTGTCTTTTTGACAATGAAATATTCATTGGCTCACTCCACCGCCATGTGCGCCTCGGAGGGGAGCGGAGGGGAGCGCGCTCTGGCATTAGCCTCCAGCAGCCCCGCGGTCAAATTCTGACCAACCGGGACCTGCAGCCAGCCATTTGCCCTTTCAGCCTCCGTTTTCTCATCTGTACAATGGGGACAAACACCCCCCACTCCGACGACAGGGTCACGGCTGGTGCACAGTAGGCGCGCAGCGAAGTGCCAGCCTTTGAGCATCACACCCCCGCGTCCTCGCCACCTGTCCGGCCTCCAGAGGGAACTTGAGACGCCCCCATGTGCCAGACGCGGCCGGCGCTGGGCGGGCACCGGGCCCCCAGGGCGGGGGACCTCCCTCCCTCCTCCCCGCCTCCCGCCGCTCCCGCTCCGCGCCGCGCCGTCCCCTTACCCTGGAGGCCGGAGGGCCGGCATCGGTCCCGCAGGAGAGCCCGGGCAGGGGGGCCGGGCTCCGGAGCGCGGGGCGCGGGCGCGGGCAGGGCGCACGGGGGCGCGGGCCGCGCGCTCCGGGCCGTGCGCCCCGCGGCCGCCGCGTCCTCGCCTCCAGCGCGGGCCCCGCGCGCCCCGGCCGGCCCGGGGGCAGGCCCTGCGCACGCCGCGCGGGTGGGGGCGGCCGCTCGGGCCCTGGAGAGGCGCCCGGGCGACGCGGGCTCCCGGCGGGCGCGGGCGGCGCCGCTGCGGTGGCCCGCCGCTGAGTGGTGGGACGCGATTTACTGGCTGCAATTCCCGGCGCCCCTCGATGGCACTTAAGAGAGACCGGGAGGGAGCCGGGGAGAGCGGGCGGAGGGCGGGCGGAGGAGGGGCGGCGGGAGCCGCGCGCGCCGGCGGGGGAGGGGCGCGGGCGGGGGCGGCGGGCGGGAGGTGGGGAGAGGCCCGGATGGAGGCGGCGGGCGGCCGCGGCGCGCCGGGCTGGGGGGGCCCTGCCTGCAGCCCCCGCCCACCCGCGCCCAGCCCCCACGCGCGGCGTGGCTGGGGGCGAGGCCCGCCCCACACCCCGGCCACCCCAGCCGCGCCCCCTGCCCTACCGGCCCACCCCACCCCCCAGTCCCCGCCACACTGCGCCCCCAAACCATCCTGCTCCACCCCTCGCCCCTCCATCGCCATTGCCACCGGAGATCAGAAACTCTTGGCCCACGCGCCCAATCCAGCCTGAAGCCAGGCTTGGTTTGACACCACAGCATTTTTTTTGTTGTTTTTAATTAGAATTAATTCCCATCATTTAAAAATCGGGAATTTTCACATAAAAATCCACATAGCAGCTCAGTTTGGAAGAGAAGAGGCTCGGGCAGGAGCCTGCCCCTCCCGCAGGGCCGCTTGGCAGCGGTCTTGGGAACACTGGCCCGCAGCTGGCCTCGGTCCCCACCGGGCCCACCTGCCCGCCCGGCACGCGAGCTCTCCTGCCCGCGCCAGCCCCAGCCCCCCAGTGCCTCGGCCGGGTCCCCTGTGAAGATTGCCAGCCTCAGCCCCTTCTGAAGGCCCTCTTCCCACTGCCCCGTCCTCTCCTGGGCCCGCAGCCCCGCCCGCCTGCTTGCTTCCTTGCCGCCTGGCACTGGGGTCTGTGCGGCTGTGCCCACACCACAGGGCTCAGCTCTCTGGCTGGAGGCCCCGCCATCCTGGCTCTGGGCCTGGCCCACAGTAGGCTTTCAGTGAGCGTTGGCTGAGCGGTAACTGAACAGCAGCGGGGCCTGGGATTCCATGAGGCGGCCTGGGCCGTGGCGGGCACAGGGCACTGCTCCCCATGGCTGATGTTCATTTTAAAAGCCCCAAATGTTCATTCAGCGCAGCTCTCGCCAACCAAGAAAGCTAATGATTTCCATGCTTTATTTTTCTCCACCTTAATCCAGTCACTGGCAAGGCTGCCAGGCCTCTGTTGCTGCTGCCCCCAGACTGGCATCAACTCTCCCAGAAGGTGCAGCCCACCTGGGCCAGAGCCTCAGGATCTGAGGGGAGTGCTGCCTGGCATCCCGGAAGGAGGACAGGAGCCCAGACAGCCCCACACAGCTCAGCTGAAGCCCCTAGGCAGGTGTCTAAGTACCACTGCATCTTGCTGCTTCCAGAGCAGAGCCCACCGAGGAGCCAGGTGAGAGAGAAACATCACAGGTTTCTACTAAAAATCTGTCACACACCGTCATCGCCAGGATCCCTCTTTACAGAGAAGAAATAAGATCCAAGAGCGTGATCTCCAGGTGACAAATGTGGAGGGCACTAAGAGCCTGTATGATCCACAATTGTCACTGCCCCAAAGGAAAGCAAGACCCCTCACGCCTGAACAGAGCCTAGTGCAGGCCGTGGAGCTGGTCGGGATGGGGAGCTGCGCACATGCGCCCCAAGGCCAGTCCCAGATAGGGCGCCCTCCTGGAGCCTCGCACAACCTGGGCAAATACCACAACCCTGTCCTCCACCTCTTCTCTACCCACTTGCCACCATGGCCACACCACGCCAGGTGCTCGCCTCAGTGAGGGGCCAGGAAACAGGCCAGGCTCCACAGCCAGCTGCCATATCCAAGTCGCAGCCCCTTTCTTGGCCCTCAGCGTTCCCTCGATGACAGAAGGGAGCAACCCTATAGGGCTGGGGACACAAACAAGACAGCAGACGGGCAAGGAGGAGGGAGAACCAGAAAGTTAAGAGCTCACACTCTGGGGTGAGCCGGCCTGGGTTTCCCTTCCTGCCAACTGCCATGGCTGCTCCCGGCCTCAGGTGCTTTACCTGTAAAATGCACAGGGGCCAAGCTAAGAAGACCAGCTGACTTAACCTGTACTGAGTTTGACATGGACAATAAGTGGAGCCCCCGAGCACAGCTGGGCAATCATAAGGCTCAGTCAAGACTGTGATCTCAACAAGGGAAACGGGACAGGGAGCAACTTGCCGGCTGCATGGCCCCGGGAGTGCTGCTACCCACTAGTGATGGTCAGGCAGCATCAGGGAGCTTGAGGGATTCTCACTGCTCAGTTCCAAACTCTCTTGCTGTCTCCAGGAGACCACAGTGCCTAACTTCGTTCAGAAAATCAGCAGACAGACCTGTGTTCACATTCTGCCTCTGCCAGCTGGAACAGCCTCAGTTTCCTCAGCTGTTAAATAGGGGCGTAGCAGCAGCCGCCTCTTAGAGCGGTGCCCAGACCTCAGCCCATCCTAGCAGGATGAAGTGCAGAGAGCCCGCTGGGGACCTGGCTATGAGTCCAGTGGCAGCAAGACGGGGCTGCTCCTGCCTGGGAACGGGTGATCAGAGCCAAGCCCAGCAAAGGGACTGATCTATCAAGGAGGACAGACAGGGACGTCTCCCAGAGCTTCACACAACCTAAGCCACCCTTATCTGCAGGCCTGGGAGCCCCCAGGCTGCATAGGCTACAGGTCTTGGGAGTCATGACTGGCAGAGATTTGGGGGACCAGCTGAGCCCCTTAGAGGCCAAGATTGTTCTGGAGGCTGTGGAGAAGACCCCACCTGGAGAGAAGCACCCTCACAGAGCCCGCTCCTGCCCCCCAGAGCTTCAGCAGTCCGCAGTCCTCCTATGCTACTATCTCTAAGGTAACATTATTTACCATCATCCGCATTCACCTGTGGATGATCTGTCTTCATCTCCTTCCCCCAGGGTCCAGGAATGTGCAGGAATCTGGCTGTGTCTTGATCCCTGCTCTCCTGTACCCTCCACGTCTAGGACAGTGCGGAGCATACAGGAGGTGCTCAGCAGACTCTCACCACGGAAGAGTTCCCCGGCAGCAGTGATCCTTAGCAGGATGAGACATCACAACACCCTGCCTGTGTGCAGCTCCCCTTCCTGGACAGCCGGCCACCTGGTCCCCTCCTTCCTCGTCTCCCTTCAGCAGGGGACAGAAGGTGTCATTCCCACCTGGCAGCCAGGAAGCCGTCTTTCCATCCCTGCAGTGCAACAGGGCAAGGGAGAGACCGGTGCAATTTTCTGGCTCACAGCGCGCGCCAGGGCTGCCTGGTGACACAGAGGGCCCGAGGGAGGCCCTGCTCCAGCAGAAGCAGCCTGGCACTCCTGCCCGGAGCCCGGCAGGGCTTCTCCAGCCCAGCCAGACTCAGAACTGGAGGGGTTTTGCGCAGGAGCCCCCCAGATGTCATCTGGGGCCTGGGCTCCCGCCCCTCACGTGCGCATGGCACTGCCCCGTTACAGTTTACAGAGTGCGTTCACAGACATTATCATGTTGGCTCCTAAACACCCCCTAAAAACCACAATAAATCTCTCACGTGCTGGCTCCTGAGCCCACCGGCTGCTGCGTAATCAGTGAGCAGAGAGGCCTCAGGGCCCAAAGCCTGCCAAAGCCGCAGCGGCGCCAGCAGGGCCAGAGGGGGGTCCACGTGGGCGGGTGGCAGGTGGCGGGTGGCAGGCCCAGCTGGGGCGCTGCAGGAGTGAGGAGCAAGCCTGAGGCCGAGCCTGCAAAGGCAAAAAAATGCTGTCTCAATCCAAAAGGTCTCCTGGTGGGGAGAGGGGGACAGTCAGCGGGCTCAGGGGACAGGCTGGGGACTGTGCACTGAAGGGCAGGGCAGGGCATCAGGACATCTGGAGGGCTCATTAGCACTTAGGAGCAAGGCAGGGAAGTGCAGCAAGGCCATAAAGATGGTTCTCTTGGGGCCAGGGACAGCCGGCCTCAGCTGGCTCCCCTCACCTCCTGCTGCCCTCCACCGTGAGAGGACAGACCTGGGCCAGCAGGGCCCCCGGCGTGGCCTTCCTGGACAGGTCGCTTCCACAAGGTAAGCCAAGCCTTTACCCGCTGGCCTCTGCCAGGATTGTCCTCACTGCCTGTTGAAATCCGACCCTCTTTGCAGGACAATGCAGCACCCCCACATCCACAGATTCCTCCCCAGCTTCCGGAGGATGCACCGGGGTTCCCTGTCTCTTGACCTGACAGGTTCTTCTCCTGCTGCAGACCTTGCACCCCTGAGGGTAGGGGACCCCTGCACAAAGAAAGAATATCTGTTCATGAATAGACAGAGTTCCAGGCAGTGACGGAAGGGGGTCCCCAGCTCACACGGCTGCAGGGAGAGGTGACAGCCATGTGGCAGCCCCAGCAAGCACACTTCCTTTGGTGTCTTCAGCTCAGCTCCCAAACCTGGGCAGCCACAGAGAAAGAATCCCCCAAACGCCTCAGCCCAATCGGCCAGCAGCTGTGGTTGGCTTTTGTTTTTTAACATTTCCCTTGGTTTTCAAAGTTCTAGGAGCTCAACTTACAAACTGTGGAAAGTTCAGGAAAGTTTAAATAAGCAGGGAGAGGGAGGGCTTGGCCTGAGGGGGCTGCGGCTGCCCTGGCAGGGCTCCCAACCAAGCAGGGCCACATCGCTCCTCCCGCTGTGGCTGCCCAGGAAGCCTCAGCCTTGACCTCTGTTGCCGCAGGGGCAGCCACTCTGTCGCATGGACGCCTACGGCCATTCCATGGAGACGTGGAGCAGGTGGCAGCTTCTCTGTGGCCACTGCTGACAGGAGCCAGCATTTTAACTTTGAAAGCCCCAGAAGGGTGCAGCACAGCAGCTGCCGCTGGGGTGCGTGCTGCTCCCTGGGAGACCTGGAGGGATGCAGGGAGCCAGGATGGGGGAGATGTCCATCATTCTGGGTACAGCCGCTCAGCCCACAGACCCCAGACTGGGAGCAGGGAGCCCAGGAAGCCCCAGGGCCTGTGTGCTTGGCCTGGCACCCCTCTCCTTGTTCTTAGAAATATACAAAACTTGCAGAGCATGATGGTGCTTGCCTATAGTCCCAGCACTTGGGAGGCTGAAACAGGAGGATCACTATGAGTTTGAGGCCAGCCTGGGTTACAGAGTGAGTTCAAGGCCATTCTACACTAGTAGTGAGACCTTGTCTCAAAAAAGAAAGAAAGAAAGAAAGAAGTTCCTACAACTCAAGGATAAAATGATTGATAACCCCATTTTAAAACAGGCAAAGTCTGGCCCTGAATCAAGGTCGGCAGCTTCCTGATGCTGTTGGTTTCAAGCAGGAGCCTAAAGAGACGTCTTTCAATGGTCTTTTGGCCATTTCAGAACTTGGGCAGTGAAATGGTCAATTCATTAGAAAGAAACAGCTGGAAGCAACGCTTCCCCACCCTAGTGAGCGGCTGTGAGTGTGGCAGGCTATGGTGGCCCAGGACGGGAGCCTCCAGCGTTTACTGGGACCCAAACCAAGCTGGGACCTGGAGCACTGGGAAACCAAGCAGCCCCTCCCCCCTGCCTGTTTTGTTTTGTTGAACTTCAACATACATGGAAGTATGGACAGCTATTTTGAAGAGAATGAGAGACTCTATGACAGCCTTAGTGACTTCCCTATTGTCTGGTTTTGAAGACCTAAATCGTCTTCCTCATTCTGTTCAGATCAGCTTTATACTATGTTGTTTTGTATAAATTCTCTGTATTGGAAGACATGGACAACTATTTGGAAGAAAATGAGACAGTAGGATAGATAGTGAAGATCTCAGGTCGTCTAGCTTTGAAATTTATCTCTCTTACATTGCTTTCCTCTGTCCTATTTTGTTCTGTTTTATTGTGTTTAATTTTACTCCCTTTAGGGGGCTGGAGATTTAGTTCAGCAGCATAAGCGCCTGCCTTGCAAGCTTGGAGTTGTGAGTTCGATCCCTGGCACCAATTTAAAATAAAAAAAATTTTTAAAAATTAAAACTTAAACAGACATTTCTCCAAAGAAGATACACAAACGCCAAAAAACTCATACAAAGATGCCTGGCATCGTTAGTCAACAGTCAAAGCCCACAAGGAGACAGCGTTTCACACCCAAGGGGATAGCTGCATCAAAGACAGCAACAAGTGCTGGTGAGGAAGTGGGGAATGGGATAGGTGAGCCGGCTCACAGCAGTGTGACAAGGTGCCCTCACGGTGGAAAAGGGTCTATCCGCTTAGCAGACGGAAAAACAAGTCACTGTAGGTGCCACGATTCCACTTCTAGGCACACACACTCAAGAGAAATGAAAGACCTGAATGTTTATGTCAGCATCATCCATAACAGCCAACAAGTGGAAACAACCTAAATGTACATTAATAGACGAATGGGTGGACAAAATGAGGTAAGTCCATGCAGTGGACTGTTACTCAGCCATGAAAAGGCACGGAATACTACTCACGCTACTACACGGGGGACTCTTGGGAACATGCTGAGTGGAAAGAAGCCAGACACGAAAGGTCGAATGTTGTCTGATTCCATTTATGGGAAATGTCCAAAATTGGCAAATTCATAGAGACAGAAAGCAGATTAGTGGGGGAAAGGGGGAATGGGGAGTGGCTGCTGATGGTTTCAGGGTTCTCTGGAGGCTGATTAAATGTCCCGGGAGTGGGCAGTGGTGATGGCCCGCGACTCTGCAAATACACCGCACGCTGCGGAATTGCACCTTCTCTCTGGCTGGACCTTCCCGAAACCCTCTGTCCCCCATCCTGCTCATCCATCCACCAGACTTCAGCTCTGGTGTCCTGGACCTCAGAGAGGCCTTGCTTGACCTGGTACCTGCGGCCGATTTGGATTCTCCGCGGAGGCAGCACAGAAGGGGCGCGCAGTGTCCCTGTGCAGAACGCGGGGCGCAAGCGCAAACTGGGTGCGAAGGATTCGGGTGGCTGCGCTGCGGGGGGAGAAGCCCAGCGTGCACAGGGTGAGGGCGGTGACAGCTCCCGAGGCAGGGAGCACTGCGGCTGGGGCCTGGCTGCCTCACGCTTATCTGGACAAAGCTGATGGCTCCCCGCTGCCTCCCACCTCAAACAACTTTCCTCTTCTGATCCCTCTGTTATCCGTGGCACCACCAATGAAAACTGCCCGGCTCATTCGGCAGCCCGGAAACCTCCGATGGCTCCCTGTACCCTTGGAAGCAAGGGCAGACTCTCCAGCCCGGCCTGCCTCATCCTCCCTTCTGTGCCGAGGTGGAGGAAAGGCTCCCTGCTAAGGGCCTCAAGCCGCAGCAGTGTGGAGCCTGTTCCCCTGCCATTCCTTTGTGGAACACAAGCCAGGAGTCATGCCCGGGCCAGGAGCTTTTTCTAAGAATGATTTTTTTTTTTTTTACTTTATCTTTTTTTTTTTTTTTTTTTGAGGCAGTCTTTCTAAGCTGCCCAGACTGGCCTCAAACTTGTGAGCCTCCTGCCTCAGCCTCCTGGGGTGCTGAGATCACAGGTGTATACCACCATGTCTGGCTTCATAGTGATGTTATTTTAAATGATGCAGAAACACTTCACAATCTAATCACATGTACTCACCAGCCTGTCTAACCTCAAATTAGAAATAATTAAGAGTATCCACTGGCCCATACTCCATCTTGTAGAGAAATAGCTTCAGGGCCAGACGCTCGGATGTAAAGTCCAGGGCAGCAGGGACCCAGCCAGTCTATCTGGTTGGTGGCTGAGCACCCCCCCCCCCATGCGTGGAACAAGGCCAGGGAGCTGGGGTGCTAAGGTGCAGCTAAGTGGGGAGTGGAAAGCGGGGAGGAGGGAAGGAGGAAAAGGGGAAGAGGAGGGTGGGAGAGGAGGGGAGACAATGGGGAGGGTCACCCCACACCAGGGCCGCTCTCAGCCCAGCTCCCACCCAGACCACAAAGAAGGTGGCCCTTCCTGGGTCCAGGATGGGGCCCGCGTAGCCCCTGGAGCTGAGAAACCCCAGCTCTTTAGTCCACAGGGCTTCCAGGCTGGGGCTCCCCTCTCAGCCATGGAGATGGGGAGCCCCTCTTCCCTGCTGGTCTCAGGGTCTGCACACGCTCTGGGCTCCAGCCTCCCTCTGGGCCCAGCTGAGCCCCTGAGCTCTGCCACCCTCCCAGCGGATTGAGCAGAACCCTGGGAGTCGTCGTGACACCCTGCTCCTTCTCACACTCGGTCCATCCGCAAATCCGGTGAGCTGTCTCCAGCCTTCGGCGGCCTCCGCTCCTGCTCTGCCCCGCCCCTCCCCCGGCCTGGAACGCACTCGGCAGCCAGAGGGAGCCTTTCAATGGAGCATCCAGGGACCTCGCCATCTGGCCCCCATTTCCTCCGGAGCTCCTCTGCTGCCTCCCGCCTCCCTCCCTCACTTCCCTCCAGCCACGCGGGCCTCCTGCGCCCTGCTCTGGCTGCAGCCCTGGCCTGGCTTTCCCCTCACCATCTGGGCCTCCGTGGCACCTCCTCACCTCCTTCCCTTTGCTCAGCTGGTTCTCGGGGTAGGGTCTGGCCCTGGGGTGGGCACTTGCCTGGCACACAGAAGACCGGGGTGGGGGAGCTGACATCCTCACTTGGCTCTTCCTTCCTTGGACACCTATGT